GAAAGAAGAAAGGGAAAAGCAAGGATCACAAATAATGTAACAATATTACAGAGACATTTATCACTCATATGTCATCTGTCACCATGAATCCAAAGGACAGAATCACTTTTAGAGCTAGATTGCAGTTCTCATATTGAAAGTGCAATCATTCTTACAAAAAGGAGGCCAGCAAATCTGGGCGTGTCCTGTTACTGTGAATTTCAAGCTCAGTCTCTTTTCAGAAAGTTTGCGAATTTGAAAGAACTTCCCCCAAGCAATGTTTTCAGGATCAAATAAAGCCATGCATGTAAAGGACAAACACACTCCAAGTATTGTCAGCATTTGGCTGTGATGGTTTTCATTCATTTTCTTCCAGGGAAAACAGGGATACAACCAAATTGAGATCAAGAAACTTAAAGCAATAATTTTTGAGGAATTCACCTGAACATGGGATATAAGTGCTGGCTCTCATGTTGGAATCTCTGCAAGGCCTGTTAGAAACCATAACACTCTTGAGACTTCGTGAACCATGGGTAGGGAAGAGAAAAAATAAATAAATATCTGGAAAAGGAAAGTCATTAGGGCTTTGGAAATACAAAAAAATTAAGCAGGAAATTTAGGGTAGAAAAAGAGTCAAGATATTGTAATTCAGTGCGTTTTCCCTTCGGGGACACAACATTCCCTGAGTTCTGAGGTCAGTGATCATCAAGGCCTAGAAGCTGCTCTATTGAGCAGTCTCCTTAGGGTCCCTTTCACATCCAATTAATTTACTGGAATCACATCAATCTTGGGATACAGGATAATGATATATCTCCTTAAAGATTCTTACCATGTCCACGCATTTTCTAATCAATCCTAAGGGCCTACAAGCAAATATCATTAAAAAGGAACATGTTGAAAGTTTCAGAGTGAAGTACCAAGTTCTGGCCCACACACCTAAAAACTTCAGAAGCTAATATTAAAAATCAAAATTTCTGCCTGAAAAGCTATTGGTTGAATTTATCAATATGAAAATAAAAGATTAAAGTCATAATTCTGTGTCAATACACTAAAAACTGTCTTGATCAATATATTTAACTACATCTTCTCAAGCACCCTCTTAGGTAAATACTTTTCCCCACAAATATGTACTTGAGGAAGTTAAAGAAAAGGAGTTTTGTATCATACTTAGAACCACACTAATGATATAAGGGTACATTTAAATTCACAAAATGCTCAGGTTTCAAAATGGACTTATTTAAACTGATAATAGAAATACCTTTCAATAAGAAACCTTTTGCCTTATCTTCAAATAAACTATCTACAATAATGTCAAATCCTGTGTCCATAAGCACTGTGGCATTTAACCTGCTCTTGAGTGTTAGAGAGGAGCTGGAGAAAAGTCTAGAAGATGGAGAAATATGGCAGCCAAGGCTCTCCAGGAATCAATTCCCCACAGACACACCAATTTGAGCAGCTATTTGCACACCAAGGTGCCCTCCCTGGAGCTGAGGGGGGAACATAAGACAATTTGAACCATAGCACAACTCTTAGCTACCAAAGTTCTTAAATATTGAGCTGGTTTTTGGTTAGTTAATGATATTTAAATGCCACAATTTTGTACTGTCTGTATTTGCTCCTTTGCTCTTGGGTTGCCACAGCACTCTTAGCTCAACTTGCTGAGATAACTCCTATATACTCTTTTCCCATCTTTAGATTTCTTTGTGTTTTCAGTTCTTGGACATTTAACGTAGGTGTCTCATGGTTGCCATTTTTCTAATGTAACGTAAGATTTATGTAAATAGTGAGATCAGCTGAATCTTGTATATTCTCTCCATGCAGCTTTCTCACTGAAAAAACCCTCTTTGCTAATGAAATGAGATTTATTTATCCTTTACTTACATGAAGAATATTGTAGAATATGCATAACTGGGTTGTATATGGAGGAAAGGATGTTTTTTGCGGATAGCACGAGTGGATAAATTATAGAATTGTTTCTGTGAGAAAGATCAAATGGTAGATGCAGAGTACAAACAGGGATGGAAGAATCAGTGTTGAGACATTTGTCATGATTAGGCCATAGCAAAAGTGTTTTCCTGCTGATGACATGTCATTGTGGGTGGCAGGGATAACATACTGAGGTTACTGTCAAAGCAGAAAGAATTTACAGGGTATGGCATACAAAAACAATGGTAGCTGTTTGGTATAATAAAATGTTGTATGTATTTTGTTTTGATTTCATTATGCCCCCTATGGTTACTATTCTGATGAAAAAAGTTAACGCAGAATTTCTGGCATTCCTTTTTAGATATTTAATTAAGAAAATTTTCTCTTCATTACCTTATACTTGTTTTTATAGAAAAGATCGATATCTATTTTTTTTATTCTCTAACTCTTCAACTTGGGGAACAATAATTCCCCCCAAATTATTTAATAATAAAAATAAAACCTACGTATGTCTTCTCTCAGGAGTAGAATGTCAAGCAGTCTGGTGAGGTATAGCAATGCTGGATATACATCTGTAAATATATCATCAACATTTCTTGTGTGAGATTGTGGAAATTAATGGAATCTTGATGGGCCACATGTACTCAGATATTTGGTCAAAAATTATTTGGGGTATGTGTGTTTGAAAGGGTTTAACATTTATTTCTTGGGATTAACATTTTCATCGATTGATTAAAGCTAAATTGCCCTTTTGTATTAGTATGATTCTGTTGCTATCACAAGATGCCTGATATTGGAAAACTTATGAAGAAAAGAAGTTTATTTAGCTTGCAATTTGGGATGTGGACATTCAAAATAACATGGTGCCATCTCTAATGAGGGACTCATGACAAATTGGCTTATTATGGTGTTAGCATGTGATAGCAAGAAAACACAGGGCAAAGCAGGAAGCCACAGAATAAGAAAGGATGATTTTTTTTCTTTAAAGAAAATGTGTCATATTATACCACCCCTGAATCCTCACTCACTTGGACACCTGAATAAGCATATACATTTAAAATAAGCTTTATATCTTCATCACTTTTAAAAATATTCCAATTTCAGACAATTCACATCATATCTTTTCCCCCATGTTACAATTTATCACTCCGGGTCCCATAAGAATACGAACAAATCTAAATATTTTAATGGAGAGAGAGGAAAAAGGGCCTAGTGACATATACTGGATTTTCAAACTAATGAAGTTAGTGACCATGGTGTAACCAGTGTGACCACCAAACCAGGTGGAAGGTGGAGAAGTGATTCCAAGAGTCCCCAGTCAGCCTGAGAATACAACTACAGAAGGGTGGGACTGGAGGAGAGAGTCACTCGCTTAGACCAGTGCATGACAAGCTCCAGGGGTAGATGGGCATGTGTGTTTAAGGAAGAGATTCCAAGAAAACCACCTTGCCTGGTGCTCTGACTTACCCTTTTGAGCTTGATCCCTGTTGCAAAGGGGCAAAATTGCGACATATGCAGTCGAGGGGGAGAAATAAAGAATGTCCACATGTCTCTGCCCTTTTCAATGCTTTATTCACTCAAAGCACTCAATACAGTTTCACTCTATAGGTTCTTAATCAAGAAAACGACAGTCCTTAATGCTAGGCACTGCGATAGACATAATCAGTTCACAGCAGACAATTCTAGATTGATTCTCAGCACTGCAGACACACCTAATCATGACAGGCTCATGACAGACTCTCCCTCTGCACGCTGAGCTCAAAAGTCTCAGGCCTTAGGCTTTACGTCCAGCAGATGCACACTCACTCAGACCACAGTGATCAGATCCGGAACCAAGGCAGGCTTCTCCTGGTGTGAAGCGGACAACTGGTTGGGGAGAGGGTCGTAGGGAGAAGTTGTGGCTCTCACCAAGGCCCAGGCGAGGTGGTAGAGTTGGAGAGCAGTGAGGATCACGCAGAGGATCAGGAATGATGACAAGTGTTGGGATGTCAGGTCCTCATTAGGCTCTCCAGCTCATGTGCATCCTTGTTTCGGCTGGCTTGAATCCCTTTTCATTAACTCTATTATTTATACTACATTTTGGGGCTTTCAATCCTTATCAGCTACCAACGGATTTCAGAAACATCTGGTCTGGTGGTCTCCACTGTGGCCTTCTTGCCTTTCCCTCTTATCAGGCGAGGACAGCCTGCCAGAGCTTCACTCTGTTTATCAGGGTGAAGGGACGTGACTTGTCTGAGGGCCATACTGGAAGGCTCTGTTAGATGTGCCTGGTGAGACTGCAGGTTTCAAACTGGAGTTTTTAAAATGGAGTTGCATAGGCTCAGGCCTAAGGCCATCTTGAAAATCCCTTTAGGAACCAGCATCGGAACCTTTATAGAAGGTTCTTCTAAACATTAAATTAGTCAGATCCATATTAATAGGAATCCATATGCATGAGATCTAGTCAAAAAAAATTAACTTCTTTTACAATGAAAGTCAAACTGGAGACCAGTGATCTGACCCCAAGATGTAACATGCCTCAATTCATACCGAGATGCAATTGTTTTTTTAAAAAAACATATACATTTTACATATATACTTACATCTATATATGCATGTGTTGCTCATATATAAATGTGACACAATACATACTTACATATATATATATATATATGCATGTGTTATTCATATATAAATGTGTTGCTCAAGATCCAACCCTGTGCCTCCCATGTGCAAGGCAAGTGCTCTACCACTGAGCCACAACTCCAGCCCCTTTGGATGAAATTTTTAAAGAAAATTCACAAGAACTTTAAAGGACAACAATTTTAACCTTGTAAAAATAGAGTTTCTCCATTCACCTGGAGTCCAGAGTATTCCTAAGAAGGACAGGGGTTGCCAATTTTGATGTTTACAATGAAAAGGGATCCAAGGAAAATTGTGAAATTGAATTAAAGACACCCCAATAAAACAGTTTTCAGACATGAAATATGAAGTGAGCACCAACTAAGAAAACACAAAAATAGTGATTCCAAATTAAAGCATCTGAAGTCCTAGATGACTGAGATTCTGATCAACACTAAGAAAAGATGGAACATCAGGCAGCCCACATAATGAGCTTAGACCGTCCTGCTGTGCAGCCTCCACAGGGCACTTTTAATGTCCCTGTTCCTCAGGCTGTAGATGAAGGGGTTCAGCATGGGGGTGACCACAGTGTACATCACTGAGGTCACCACATCTTTCTTGGGGGAGGATGACACAGCTGAATGAAGGTACCCTGCAAGTCCTGTTCCATAAAATAAGCAAACAACTGCCAGGTGAGAGCCACAGGTGGAGAAGGCTTTGTACTTCCCACCTGAGGAAGAGATCCTCAGGATGGAGGAAACAATCTTATAGTAAGAGAAAAGGATCCCTGAGACTGGAAAAAATCCAAAGATGGCACCAGTAACATACATGACTATAGTATTGGTTAATGTATTAGTACAGGGAAAATTAAGTAGTTGAGATGGATCACAGAAGAAATTGCCAATTTCCACATCTTTGAAGTATTTGAGTTGTAGAGCAATCAAATTGTGCAGCTGGGAGTCCAAAAGGCTAACCAGAAAAGGCAGAAAAACTAAGAAGCCACAGAGGCGAGGGTTCATGATGACCATATATTGCAGGGGGTGACAGATGGCCACATACCGGTCATAGGCCATCACAGTCAGAAGCATGTCATCCATACATCCAAAAATGCTAAATAGAGACATCTGTGTCAGGCAGCCCACATAGGAGATGGCTCTCCTATGAGTTTGGATGTTCATGAGCATATTTGGGACCGTGGTGGAGATGAAGCAGATGTCAGCCAAGGACAGGTTGGAGAGGAAGAAGTACATGGGGGTGTGGAGGTGGGGGTCAGAGCTGACGGCCAGGATGATGAGTAGGTTCCCGAGCACTGTGACCAGGTACATGCACAGGAACAGTCCAAAGAGAAGGGGCTGCAGGTCTGGGTCCTCTGACAGTTCCATGAGATAGAATTCTGAGATACCTGTTAGATTTTGTTCTTCCATATTCCTTGTACACCTTGGGTAAAAGGAAAATGGTTGAAAAATGAAACAAGCGGTTACTCAGAACCCTATATATTTTGAATTAAACTTTGATAGCCATAGACTATTAGCAACACTTCTCAGTTGTAATAAACCTTGTCTTCTTAGAATTGTTCATACTTCAGAAATGCTCAACTGAACAGATTACAAAGAGAAACAATATTAGAGATTAAAAAAATACCTATCTCAGTAAAATAATGCCTACTCATTTAAGAAAAAGATATAACAATACTTTTGTGCATTAAAAAAGTCTTTTAAATTAAATAAATTAAGAAGCACTATGACACTTCTCAAAAGAAGAAATGAAAATGGCCAAAAATGCAAATAAACATATGAAAACATGTTCAATATCCCTAGCAATCAGAGAAATCCTAAAACAGCTGTCCTGAAATTTTTCCTCAATCCAGTTAGAATGGCAGTTATCAAGAATACAATATATAATAAACACTGGCAAGGATGTGAGGGAAAATGTTCACGTATGTGTTGTTGGTGGGACAGCAAATTAGTACAACCACTATGAAAAGTGATAGAGTTTCCTCAAGTGTAGGTATGAGGCTGGGGATATGGCGTAGTGATAGAGTGCTTGCCTAGCATGCCCGAAGCACAGGTTCAATGTCCAACAACTCAAAATAAAATAAAATAAAATAAAAAGAATGAAATCACCAACGACTCATCTCTCCTACTCCTTAGTATTTATCCAAAATAACTAAAATCAGTATAGTATAATGATACATCCCCATCAATATTTATAGCACTGTAACTCACAATCACCAACATATGGAACCAGCCCATCTGGATTACTAAGAAGGATGCATTTCCTACTACTGTGGGTGTGATATCTACGAAAAGTAGAAGCAGTTTGGGTGGAAAGCACATTTTGAATAAGATTTCTGCTCCCCCCAACCACAACCAAAAACATACACTTCGAATTCTTCATAGGAGAAACTTTGCATGTCGCTCACTTGGCCTGACACTGGAGACATGGAAGATACTGAAGCTCTCTGGCCAGGTGAGATCAAGGAGGACAGTTGGAATTACTAATGAACAGCACTTCCCAGGGTCTCTCCCACAAGCTGGGGTTCCCTTTGTGTTTACCTGGTCACAATGCTTCTCTCCTGGGTCATGACCAAGGAATGCAGGTCCGAAGACAGGCCCAGGCCCAGCAAAGGGTGAGACTTTACCCCCAGGATAAATATATGTATCCAGCTTTGACAAGGATTCAGCATCAGATAGGATCTTCCTGATGCACACGAAGGTGTGGGACCCTCAATATTGGAGCCATTCAACTGTGACGAAAGGGACAGGCTGACTATTGCCTATTAAATGGCCTTGGAAGCCCAAAGAACAGAGCTCCTAATTAGCCAAATTGCTCCGTGTTCCTCCAGTCTCTAAGGACCTCCTCACGCTAATGGAGGAGGAAGACAAAGAGAAGATGAGGGCCACAGATTGTTTCCAGTATATTCATCTACTCTGTAGGAAATCTGTGTGGACTGTTCACGTCTTTCATTCCTGTCTGTATGCAAGTCTTTAAAAAAACTCATTTACATTTTAAAAGGGATTTATGTGAGAAACATAGTAAAATATTTGTAAGAACACATGTCAGATAGTTCCTCTTATTGCACCACTGATCTCACGCAGAGAAAACTGAGTCCAAGGAGAGGTGAAGTGACTTGTTCAGGGAGACAAACAATTGACATGTGATCGATTTTTAAAGTCTGACATTTGTGTCCATTACATGATTTTACTTTAATGCAATATAATTGAAAAAATAAACCCACTCTCGGTCAACACCAAGTAGCTTGTCATTATGCCGGGTTTTCAACAATTTTCTTTCTTCTCTAATCTCACCCCCTGTAGTTACCTTTTCATGCTGAGCAGGGACACTTGAAATCACTGCTCTGCTTTCCTTCTGGTTTTGTTTTTATGTACTTTCTTCCAGGGTCACAGAATTTCACTACATGAAAAATTCAGTATATTTGTCTGACACCCCTAAGCTCAGTGTTTTCGAGAGACCTTCAGTTTCACTGTGACCTGGCTTTCCCTCCTTGCCCCTCCCAGCTATTCATCCCATTAAAAGAACTGGATTATTTCTATTTCTTGGGTGAACACAAAGTGACAAATCACAAAAGAGAGAGAGAGACAGAGAGAGAGAGAGAGAGAGAGAGAGAGAGAGAGAGAGAGAGAGAGAGAGAGAGAGAGAGAGAAAGGTCTGTTTTGAGATGTCTGCAACTGAAGCATTTAAAAATACTCAGAAAATAAAGCCAGTGTCAATGTGGCTCAGGTGTCCATCTGGGGTGTCACCTATTTTATCAACTTCGATGAAGACAGAGAATTGTTTATTTTATTAAAGGTTTTATTAGGTGATAACACATACAGAATCTGAAAGAAGTACATCTGGAGTGAGAGGAGCACTTTCTCAAGAAAAATTCAGAGCTACTGGATACCCTTGTTGTGTCTGCACATGGAAGGACAGCAGTTTAATGTGATGCTCTAGTGAGACCCTATTGTTGGAAGAGAACCAAGGTTATTCTTTTTGACTTCAGGTACAAGAGCAGCAGAGTCAAAACTGTGGAAATGTCCCCTACAGAATAGAAGTACATATGCCATCTGCCTGTTCTTCTGTAGGATATTTTTGCTGACAGACTTGTGTCTTGGTGGGTGGTGGGCCATACGGAGAGAGACAGCTCCATATTCTTGGGGTTCTTAGGATCTAATGCACTGATGGAAGGATAGGCCTGGTCTTCCCTTGTTCTGTCACCTGCTTGCACACACTGACAAGCCAGCTTCTGTGTTCTGAGATTTTCCATCAGAGTCCCTTGTGGCTAGGAATGAGGAGAGGCCTGTGGTCACCATCCTGCAAAAACCTGAATCCTGCCCACAGCTGCATGAAATACCTTTGCAGCAGATCCTCAGCTGTGAAGCCACGAGATGACTGTAACTCTGGCTGGCACCTCAGCTGCAGTCTTCTAAGATGTTCTGACAACAGTGGGGTGGAAAGTTACCAAAAGTCTTTGTAAAGACAAATAGCTTCTAATATGCAATCCTGCATCAAATTAACAGAAAAAAAATCAGAATTGGAGTCTTATCCATACTAGCAAAAAACATACATCACAAAGGAATGGTGATTCCAAACCACAGGCCAGTAGTATAGAAAGAAAAAACAGGAAATCTTGTCATTTGATACAACATGGATGAAACCATATGACATTCTCTTAAAAGAGGCGAGTCAGTCATAAATCTCTCTTAAGTATGGTATCTAAAATAGTCCAACTCATGAAAACAGAGATTAAAAGGGCATTTACCAGAGAAGTGGTATGAGTAGATGTTGGTCCAAGGACACAAAATTTTAGTTGGGAGAAATAACTTCAAAGGATGCATTATATACCACTATGATTTAAATGAACAAAAATAAATTGTGTGCTTTACATAAATTGGAAACCATATACAAAATGGGGAGATATTTTCTAAACACATATCTTATGAGTCAAGTATCCACAATGGACAAAGAAATCTTAGAGGTCAGAAGCAAATGCACACTGTACCATTGCAAAATGAGCAAGTAAGTGAGAAGTCATTTTTCCAAAGTATACATAGTGCCTTCCAATAGCCATCTGGAAGATGTTGAATTAATCATGGCTAAAGGCAAATCAAAAGCACAGTGAGATTATTAACATTAATCATAGAGGACAGCGGATTTTGTAACAGCATATTTGTAAATGCATATAACCCAACTTTATCAATTTCACATACTCCTTAAGTATTGCTAAGGATATGAACATTTTGGTAGCTCTACACAATAGAATGTGAAATGTGCTCAGCTATAACAACTAAACGTAAAATGACCATACAACACAGAAGTTCCACTCTGAGATTATTACTACAATAATTAAAACAAGCGTAGACATTTGCTTGCTTAATAACGAGGTCAGGGAAAAAGTTTTGCTTGGGGATTTTGTCATTATGCACAATCACCGAGCATACTTAAATGAAGATGGGTAAGGGTTAATGTACGCAGGTTTTTATTGACTTAAATACCCCAAATAGGTAATTACACAATTGTCCAAAACTGGATAACTGGAAAGACAGCTTGTGTGTATACATGCAGTGGAATAGTATTCAGCCAGAACAAGGACTGGGACTGGATAACATTACCAGTGAAAGAGTCAAAAGAAGGGAGGAAAAGAAGAAATAAGGGAAGGAGGGAGAAAAGAAGAAAGGAAGCAAAGAAGAAAGAAAAAAATAGGAAGGAAGGAAGGAAGGGAGGGAGGGAGGGAGGGAGGGAGGGAGGAGAAAGCAAAGATCACAAACGATGCACAATGTTTCAGAGACATTATGTCACCATGAAAGCAAAGGACAAACTCACTTTCAGGACTGGATTCCAGCTTTCATGTGGGAAACACAACCATTCTTACAAAAATGAGGCTACCAAATCTAGGAGTTGGGCTCCGTGCCATTTTCCAGGTGAGCGTGAATTCCAAGCTCAGTTTCTTTTCAGAAGTTAGCAAATTTCATAGAACATCCCCCAAGCAATGTTTTCAGGATCAAATAAAGCCATGCATGTAAAGGACAAACACACTCTGAGTAGTGTCAGCATTTGGCAGTGATGGTTTTCATTCATTTTCTTCCAGGGAAAGCAGGGTTACAACCAAAGATAGGTCAAGAAACTTCAAGCAACAATTTTTGAGGAATCCATCTCAGCAGGGGATACAAGTGCTGGCTCTCATGTTGGAATCTCAGCAAGGGACGTTAGACAACATGACACACTTGAGACTTCGTGAACCATGGGTAGGGAAGAGTTAACACGGGAAGTTGCTGAAGAGGAAAAAGAAATGAATATTGGGAAAAGGAAAGTCACTAGAGTTTTGGGAATACAAGAAATTAAGCATGAAATTTAGGATAGAAAAGAGTTAAGATATTGTAATTCAGTGCATTGTTCCTCAGGGGACACAACATCTCCTGAGTTCTGAGGTCAGTGATCCATCAAGGTCTAGAGGCTGCTCTGCTGAGGAGTCTCCCGAGGGCCCCCTTCACATCCCTGTTCCTCAGGCTGTAGATGAAGGGGTTCAGCATGGGGGTGACCACAGTGTACATCACGGAGGCAACGGAGCTTGCCTGGGAAGAGTGGGTCAGAGCAGAAGTGAGGTAAACCCCAAGTCCTGTTCCACAGAACAAGGAGACCACACAGAGGTGGGACCCACAGGTGGAGAAGGCTTTAGACTTCGTCTTCATGGAGGACATCCTCAGGAAGGAGGAGACAATCTGAGAGTAAGAATAGAGGATCCCAGTGACAGGAAACACACCCAGCAGGGCAGTCGCCAGGTACACAAACAAGTTATTGATAAAGGTGTCAGAGGTGGCCACCTTGAGAAGCTGAGCCAGTTCACAGAAGAAATGTGGGATTTCAGTGCCCGTGGAGAAGGTCAGTCGATTCGCCAGTAGAATATGAATCAGGGAGACCCAGGACAGGATGAGCCAAGACAGCAGCACCAGGTGGACACACAGCCGGGGGTTCATGATGACTGTGTATCTCAGAGGGTGGCAGATGGCCACAAAGCGGTCATAGGCCATGATTGTCAACAGAATATTATCCACTCCAACTAAAGTTGTGAAAAAATATGTCTGAGTGAGGCACTGGATGTAGGAGATTTCTTTGCTGTGTGTCTGGATGTTCACCAGCATCTTAGGGACCGTGGTGGAGATGAAGCCGATGTCAGCCAAGGACAGGTTGGAGAGGAAGAAGTACATGGGGGTGTGGAGGTGGGGGTCACAGCTGACAGCCAGGATGATGAGCAGGTTCCCCAGCACTGTGACCAGGTACATGGACAGGAACAGCCCAAAGAGGACAGGCTGCCATTCGGGATCCTCTGAGAGGCCCAGGAGGAGGAACTGTGTCAGAATTGTGTCGTTTTCTGCTTCCATGGAGCTGATGATGTGCTGAGAAAGGAGGTAAATGCATGTTCAATAAAGAATAAATTTGTGCCTCGGGTATTGACCACCTTCTATTTGATCTTGGCAATCACTGTGATTCCCTTCTCGAAGCGGCAGCTCATTTTTCATTTAAATGTGTATAAGCATCCACACTTCCTTTAATGCAGCATAAATTTCTTCTCTTTATCAGGGATGTCCTGTGTGAATACTTCCATTTGAATTCATGGACATCAACTAATGTTATATTTTATAGTGCCATTCCAGCATAACCCCAGACATTCCATGTAGTTTCTCTGATGATCTCTAGATATACTGCATTTTTGGGAAAACATCCACATTAGTGATTAACCTACATACTATCTTTTTATGATTTGACTGCTTATAAGGAAATGACATTTCACTGTCAGTGCCTTAAATTTTTTTACTTTAAAATGAGTTTATTGTTGTTACATTGTTGGTATGGTTTAAAAATGCCTCTGTTCATGGTGGCAGTTTCAATACGTGATACCTATTATTATAATTATGATCATCCTTTTAATTACAATTACTCTGGATATGTAAGTGTCCAAAGGTGGGCTACAGAGTTCTCATTTATTGGGTTCTTGAGATGGAATTCTAAGAATTGAATTTTAGTCCACCAGCCTACAACCTTTGTGGTCCTGAAAAAAGTCTAATTCTCTTAAAAGCAAATATTTCACCTCTGCCGTAGGAGAAATAAATACTAACTACATGGTAGGATTGAACATTTAAATTAATTAAAATGATTTAATTGTTCTCCTACAATGGACTCTCATAAGTATGAAATTCTGTTCTTATGACCTCAATAGGTCATCCTTGCATTTCTATCATGAATCAATATCACCTTTAACCGTGGGTGGCTGCCATCTGTATGCAATTCTGATTATTATCTGTTCAACATTTCCTCTTTGAACTATGTATATTAGAGAAGGAAATAAAGGGTACCACCATTAAAATCAGATACAAGGCAGGATAACGTCTCCCTGCTTGAATGGGCGATGATCGTCAAAATAGATGATAGACATAATGGATTAAAATTTTCAAAAACTTAAAAATCCTGTAATGTTTATTGGAAAATTATGAGTTAAAAATTAATGATCACATTCTCTCTGACACAAAAATGTTAATGTCATGAATTCCCACAGGTTTTTAATTAATTAAAGTCAGAGAAACATCACTGAAGACCAATTTAGTATGTGAGGGTGGGTAGAAGACTCTTCTCTGAAATAGTAATAGTAATACTTAGGAAGGAAGGGTCATTGTTAATCACTGGAGGTGAGGAAGGAAGAAGCCTTCTAGGCTAAGAGGTGAGAATGTGTAGCTGCCCTGTAGGGTGGTCAACTCAGTATAAGAGAGGCTTTGAGAGGCCTGGTGATGGTGAACTGGGGATGAGGCTCATTAAGGACAGAGTGTGAGACCAATTAAAGCTTCCTTTAGCTGATTTATTATCCTGTAGGCCCTGAGGAAGTGAGGGTTTTGGCTCATCATTTACCTTTCAGGGACTCACATGCTACACCAGCCACATTTTTAGTAGTGAACAAATACAATTGTTGGAGACATAATAAAGATTGAAATACAAAATGTGTTCTCTAATATAAAGGAGAAGACGTCATGCCTGTCACATGCCTGAAGATTCACAAACAGGAGTAGTGATATTAAATACAATGCATTTATGTTTATTTTAAAAGCGTAACACACGATGAAAAGGATCAATGATTCCATGAATTAAAACTGTTCATTATAAGGAAGTTTGTTAACATCCTCCATATAAAAACAGATCGATTAATAGTAATCCTAGATATGATCACAGTTAAAACTGCATTTGAAAAACACTATCAGGCATTTCTGTGCTTCCCATCCAGGGCTGAGGCGGCCTGCAAACCATGGACATTTTCCTGACTCAGTAAAAAATGGTAGTTTTCAAACAACAGCCAAAAGGAAATGTTACCTTCAAATGCTACAGATTTGTATTAGATCCATGAACATGCCAAGGCATCCTCTTCCAACTTCAGTCATTTTACGTTTTCCTAAGCTTTCAAAGGAATTGGAAAAGGGAGGAGAGAAATTTAGATTAATAAACATCTGAGAAAAAACAGTAGATGCTGTTCTTGGTAGAGCTGCTGTGGACACTAATGTGAGACAATAACTATAAAAATACAGAATTAGTAAGAGACAGATAACTAGAGACAGATCTGCTGGTAGAAAGTGGAACGGAAAACTCCAGTCACACTTGGAAGAAGGTAGGTAAGAGGTCTTTGGTGAGTTGTTAATAAATAGGAATTGGAGGCAGAAAACCTGACAGGAGGGTACAATTACAAACAAGAGTGGAGAAGAGTTAGGATCAACAGAAGCAAAAGAAAACAAAGCACACACTGGTCCTGGGGAGGATCCCAAGAACACAAAGGGAAGCCGAAGAACAGCTGGAAGAGATCTGTCGATGGAAACTAAAATTCCTTTAGAGGAACTTCACAGCCTAGAGGAATCGGGGGCTTCCTGGGCATTACGGTCCTAGATCAAAGCCCAGCGCCCACTTTCTCTCCTGCCTGCTCCACCAGCCTGCCTGGGACACCAGCTCATGAGTGGTTGTCACTGAAGAATTCTCTTCATCACAATCTGTGACTAAGAAGGGCACAGGCTTTTTATACAGGATATGATTAGAGAACTCCTTGTAAGGGGCACCAGGAGCATTATTAAATAGTCTACTGCCTCAGGGTTTGAATTCTCAGAGTTCCTCATTAAATAAATTGTTCTGTCTTCTTTCTACTCTACAAGCAATTCAGCTCCCTTGGGATACTAAGAAGAGAGCACACAGGAAGATTTTCAGTCAATTTTGTTTTCATTTAGACTGATGTGAATGTAATTTCTTTTTTTTATTCCAAGTAAAACCTCTTATTTTCCCCCCTAAGTTTGATTTTAAAGCTATGAGATTTACTCTTAGGAATATTTAATTCTTACAAAGAACCAATCTCAGGAGCAGTCTCTCTTGGATAATGCCTCCTTAGTTGAACCTTTTGAGATGTTATGAATAGTATGATGTCCACAACATTTTGAAGGAAAATAAGTCCTTTCTCTTCAATGTTTTCCAATTTTTTAATTATTCAAATTTATTTTTCATATTTTTAGTTAAAAGTGTATGTTCAACTTGTGAAACTTGTCTATGAGTGTCATATATCGTGAAATGACTAAACCCAGATAATTAACGTAGGCATAATCTCACAGTTATTTTTGTGGGGAGAAACACTTAACATCCACTCAGCATTTTCCAGTACACTATTACCACCATTAACTGTGGTCACCATGGTGTACGTCTGATCTCTTAAACTCATTCCTCATCTCTAATTAGAATTTTGTATCCTTTGCCCAACATTTTCCAACAATGCTCCCAACTGTCCTAGCCTCAGGAAATCTCCATTCTATTACCTATTTCTATGAGATCAACTTCATCCAATACAGAGAGGAATGAGATCATGGAGATTTCAACTCCCTGTGCCTAGCTCTTTTGATTTAATAACTATTCTTCAAGTTTATTCTGATGGATGCAAATGACAGGATTTCCTCTTTAATTGACATATGTGTGATATTAGGAAACTATTGATTTTTTTGCACTACTTACAACCTCCTCCGACCCTTCAGTGATTCAGAGTGTCACCCTAGTCTGTAATCAAGGTGTTAGAGAGGGCTGCTTCACCTCAAGGCTCCACAGTGGAAGAGGGCCTGTGGGTGCATTTCTTGCTTGCAGGCTCACTCCCAGGGCTGGGGCTAGGGTTTGGTTCCTTTCGGGCTGGTGGATGAAAGACGGCCTTGGTCCTTGACACTTGAATCTCTCAGGACAAGCTCTCAACATGGAAGTTGGCTTCCATGAGCTAGTGAGCACGTAACAGAGCAACAACCAGCCTCAAATTAAAATCCAGTGTCTATTCTATAATCTCAGATGTGACATTTCATCCTTTTGCCAGTTTATGTGAGCCAGTTTGGTTGTTGCTGCTCCTGTGACCAAAATATCCATCAAGAACAACTTAGAGGAAGGAAAGCGTTGAGCTCGTGGGTCCAGAGGTTTGGTCCACAGTTGGCTGAGTCCATTGCTTTGGGCACAAGTGAGGTTGGACATGATGATGGAAGGGGAGGTGGGGGAGCACTGATCTATTTATAGGTGGTGAAGAAGTAAGAGAGGAAAAAGAGAAGGGGTTTTACTGCAAATGAGCTCATTCAGGGTGTACTCCAGTGCCCCACCTCCTGCAGCCTTGACCTACCTGCCTGGAGTTACCAGTCAGTCAGTCCATTCACATTAGGATGGACTAATTAGGCTATAACTCTCATGATTTAATCATTTTACCTCTTAATATTCCTCCAGTAACACAGGAGCTTTGGGGACACCTCATTCAAACTGTAATGTTGTTGGTTGGAAGCAAAACACGGGTTCCAGGATGCACTCAAGGGGATGAGTGTGGGCAATGGTATGAATATGAGCAGTGAGGCTCAGTGAGCACGTGTGAAAGCTGCCTTCTTAATTCTTGAGTTCCAAGAAGAACCTCACAAGGCTGTGGAGATGTTGCTATGCTCTCCAGCATAATCCAGAACTCATCACAACAACAAAGCCTGAGCAAAATTTCCTCCATACTTGACAAGGGCATAAAAATTGGCTCTGATATTTGCATTTCTGAAGATTCTACCATGCCATTCCAGGACTTGTAGTCAGAAGAAGCAAAGCTAGTTGCTCTTTCATCGTTAGAGTTCCTGTATTGCCATCATATCACACATTCAACAATGTCCCTGGTGGCTTCTGATTTCCATTCTTCTAGAAATAGCTCTTCTTGATGCAGAATGCAGAATTACTTCAGATTAACTTATGTTCATGGTTCCTGAATGTTTAAGTAAATGTGCTTCATCCCTCTGTTCTTTTCTACTTGTTGAGTTTGATGAGAATGGATGTCCTTAGCTACCTTCTGTATCCTATCCATGCAGCCACCATGGCT